AAAGCCAATTTCTACTTCGTTAGAAAAATGTACAGGCATCATCTGTTGTAGCCAATTGTAACTTCGATAAAATAGTGTAGGATAAATTTAAAATTAAAAAATTAAATTTAATTAATGAATTAATATTTGAAAACTGTATCGCCATCAAGTGTCATCCACTACAAGTTTAAAAAATGTATTTGAACTTGAATGGATGAATAGAAAGTATTTTATTAACGATTGAAAATTTGAACAAGTTATATATTTAGGAGAGAGTGAACTATTAGTAAGAATTAAAAAAAAAAAAAAAAATATACATTTATTTCATGAATATTATTCTGCATCTAAAGTTTTATTTTTAAGTCCGAGCAATACTTTTAAAACCAAAATCATTACATGTTTTATTTAATTTTTTCTTAGCTAACGCGTATTAAGCGATTATGATAGAAAATTTCCTGAGCAAACTTGGTGGAGAAATTAGTTATTAAAAAAATATCAATTATTTAAGTTATCTGTATGAGGTAGTTAAAATTTAGAAAGATTAAAGGTCTTAAGAAAAGAGATATTCTTTGATACTGATCAATGCTCATTTCTATTTTATAATTGCATTTAACTAAGAAAAAAAGTATAGTGTGCATAAAATAAAAACTCTCTCTTAAACATCAACTGATTTAAAAAATTCTTGAATTTTTCTTTTTTATTGAAGTGTAAAATTCCAGAACTACAATTAATTCATCTTTTCTCAAAATTCATATAGATTATATGGATATATTAAATTAGAATCCTGTCAATTGTTTTTCACATTTACACTACAATAGTAATGTTTCATTTTGTTCTATTTTCAGATTGCTTAGGTTTATAAATTTTGCCAAATCTTCTTACAATGATGCAACTTTTAAAAGAAAAAAATTTAATTCTGAAAGCAAAGTATTAACACATTCTTTCTACATAATACGTATGCCTCAGTTATGTTTGAAAAATAAGCTTCACATATTTATAAAAAAAATACTGTAATTTTTTGCATTTTAATAACTATTTTAAGGCTGTTTTCGGCTAATGTTAAAGAATAGGACCCAAATTCGGAATATTTTTTCAGTTTTAAAAGTAGTCGAACATTAATATTAAATTATGGCTACACTATCTTGTAGATAATCACTTATTTTATCATACTATTCATTTTTATTCGAGTTTTGACACATTTTTCTTTTATAAAATGTGTTTTCGTATTACCACACTCTAATATCGTAATGCTAAATGAGCTATTCCTTTACATTTAAAAGGAAAAACTAATTATTTATGAAATATTTTGAAATTTAAAAACACTATATTACCAGCAAATGCATGAGCTACAATTTACAAATTTTAGAAAAATTGGGGCATTTTCTGTCGAAAATGTGCTCCGCGTTAAGCTTGCGTTTTTGCGCATGCCTGGCGAATACAGCCTTAATCTTCACACGTGGTAGTAGTTTAATTAATAATGGGCCGAAATATATAGAAATTTTGTTGTGCTTTTACTAAAATAAAACATTTCATGTTTATACATTTTTTTAAACTATCCGAGCTTTTAAATTATGAATTCAAAATATATTAGGGAAAAACCAACAGTAGCAGTGAGAATTTGTGCTATTGGAGAAAAGCTATGTTTACTCCATTAGTGATATAAAAAAAAGCCTTTGAAATTTTTGAAAGCTTTTCTTATAGCAAGCTCTACGATGCTACTGAATTTTTTTGTTAAATTAACATTACTGTGTAGTGTTGATTAACATTCCATGAAATAAGTTTTTATATATAATTATCTCTCTTTCTCACACACACACGCTGCTATCTCCCTGGATTCAATTTTGCTCCTCATAGTTTTGTATATATATCGGTAAAATATTTCGTAATAGTTATATAGCAATAATGTATTATAATCGTTACCTATTCAATCTGGCAAGATGAATGAATTATTTTCGCTAAAATGTGTTGTTGTGACTAAGGCCACCTGCCTGATGAAGTCAGATCGAGACGCTCGAAATTTACATCACGGCTAAGGGCTAGAGAATTTTTACGTCTGTCGTTAGCCTTAGCTTTACGAGCATCATGCAGGTGACGGTACGATTTGCTCGATTCACCCCAATTTAAAAGGGGAAAACCATGGGGAGGGTCAGGGCCTTCCACTTCTCTTCCCCTTCCACCAACCACACGAGAGGACTTGCGGCTCGACGGCTATTTAGAGTAACCCCTGCCGCAAAGGCACTATACATTTACAAACATCCATTTCTTCTCTGGGATTCGAACCCAGTCCGTGCAGCAGCACCGCTAACCGCGCTATACCGATTGGGCCTTCATATTTCTTAGGTAAGAAGATTTGCGGTTTGATTGAAGAAGATTTTGAGTGTATTCAATTCTATTCGATTATAAATGTAAAAAACATTTAAAATAAATAATTTTGAATGTTACAAAAATATTTTCAAAAAAACAGTATCCCTTTCGTAATGCGTTTTGCTTAAAAAAATAAAACAAAAAGAAAAAGTGTATGCTCGACAATTTTTAGAGGCCATTTCGTTAAGTGTTTTTAGCAGTGGCAGCAATCGATATGAAACGTCAAGCAGCCCACGATAAAATAAATCAAGAAAAATAAATCCCTACTAACTCATCCTGGGGCAAAGTTCAATTATTATGACGGGGGCTTGACCAATCATCTTTCCTAGAAATAAAAAGCAGCGAGGGAAATTTTTGAAAGACAAATAAAAGGCCGCGGAATGGAAAACAACTGAATCTCTACTAATTACTAACAGCAATTTGTTTAATGACCTGTGGTTTAAACAAGCGTTCGCCAGTTTAAGTTTAGAAGAGAAAAGTGGACTAAGTGAGAACAAAGAAGGAGTTTTCGTCGCTGAATTATTTTTAAAAGCATGTACTTTCACAGTTCGATTGGAATATTACCATTTGTTCTGTTGAGAAATGGAAAATGTATTTTCAAAGTAGAATAATTATTTTGTGTTGATTAATTGGGTTTTGTTTTTATTAATGTACCATTTTAAAAGCAACGTTGTGGCGAATGAAAATGGACCTCGTAGTTTTAAAAGTTAATCAATTATTCTATGGTACAGAGTTAATTTTTGTTTTTAATCCCTTAACTGGTTTACCCGTACACCGTACGGGCACTTTTATTTTCTTCTTTCTGTCTTTGATTTGTACATATTTTTAATTCTTATAGTGAGATTATTAGTGCTAGCGTACTTCTAGAAATACAGTTTGTCATGGTACTGAAATACTTCTCATTCGGGATTTTCTTTGTAGTGATAGCGGGAATTCAGATACTTGAAAATATTTGACAAAAATAGGGATTGGCAAAACAATGTGCAATGTGTTGCTTAGAAAAATGAAAATGGAAATACAATCCAAAACAGCTGATATTATCTCCTGTCCTCTCTTGTAATGTAAAACTTAGTATTACACCAAGTTTCAAGTTGTGTGCACATATAAATGCACAATTTCACAAAATCCTCAACCGTTTGGAAAAGAGGTACGAACATGAAATTTTATTTTTGGCATACATACTGAAACGCGGACAGAATTATTTTAAAGATATGTGAAACCTTCAAAGCTACGGAGTGTATTTATAAAAACAAACATTTAGGAAAATTTATGTTCCACAGTTATAAATTTAAAATAGTGCAAAAATTTAAAAATAAAAAATTAAATTAAAATTTTTCTATTTTAGTATTCTGTTAAGTATTATACTTAGTTATGTGCAATAAAAATGGGCCTTTTTTTTAAAATTGTTTAAGGCAAAAATTAACCGATTAAGGGTTTAATTGTCAAACTTTTGTCAAATCGTATAACATATATATATATATATATATATATATATATATATATATATATATATATATATATATATATATATATATATATATATATAGCCTTTACAAACGAAATATTTCCAATAAGAAGAAGGGGAAAGTTAAAAACGAATGCAATGGAAGAAATTATTTTTTCAGGTAAAAGTTTATATTAGATTATTTTTAACCTTATATTTACAAACAAACTTTTAACTCAATGTCATTTTAATTTACGACGCACTGTTAGGCAGCACAGGGCTATTCGTGACAGATTTCATAGTTTTGGAACTACGCCATCAAGTGGCGGGTTGACGCTAAAGCTGGTACCCTCTCCAAACATCCATGCACCACTTTATCAATGGGAGGGATTTTTAAGTCACAGCAGATACATATAATGTGCATCAGCCTCTAAGCGGTGGGTCTTCAGACTCAGGAATCGAACCCACGGCTCACCGGCCACGAGTTTGCGACCATAATCGCGGATTAAGGCAGACAGATGACCCAAAAGATTACAACGGCTCCCAAGAGCACCAAAAGCATATTAGATGGAATTAAAGTCCTAGTGATGAATAATGACAGAGTGTATATCAGCGTTACAGTTTAAAGAAACATCAGAACTGTTGGTGACGGACTTAATAATTTTGAACCACTTTCAAGCAACGTGAACGACACTTGTACTAGCACCCTCCTCTCTAGATATGCCCACACTACTCCAAGGGAAGGACTTAGGAGCTTTGACGAATTTAGCGTGCATCAGCCTCTCTACATGGAGAGTCTTCTATTCTAAGGTTTTCGGGCGACACCACAGCCATGACGAGAAGCTCGGGTGCCATGGTCACTATATTAACTCACACCAATTTATTTATAACTAAAATTCATATACAAAAAAATTCAGTCTAACTTACTTAGAATTGTTCACACACACACACATTATTTATTTTTTCAATTCCTCTCTCTCTCTACACACACACACTATTAGTTCGCTCTCGCCCTATATATATCTTGTTCAAATTTTCAATTGTTAATATAATACTTTCTGTTCATCCATTCAAGTCCAAATACATTTTGTTTAAACTTGTAGTAGATGACACTTGATGTTAATACAGTTTTTCAAATATTAATTCATTAATTAAATTAAAAAAATGAATAAATAGTAGCAAACAAAAATAATAGTCCAACACTATACATAAATACCCTGTAGCACAGTGGATAGCGCATTGGACTTCTAATCCAAAGGTTGTGGGGTCGAATCCCACCTAGGGTAGCCTAATTTGCGCGAATGTGATTTTTTTAAAACTATACTTTTTATTAGAATAATTAAATTGAAACAATGAGAGAAAATAGTAACAAACAAATCCAACACCATATATAGAAAGGAAAATGGTATATTGCAAGGAAAATCGCTTTCTATTTTGTCACTTAATATTGTGATTCTATCATATGTATATATACACATTTTATTTTAATTGTAACTATTTTATAAAGAAGTAACTAAAATAAAATTTTTCTTTACACACACACGCACACCCTAAACAGCAAAAATGGAAGTTAATGCATAAAAAGTTACTGAGTATATAGATAGAGGCTTAATTGAAGTTAGTAATAAAAACACTTATGTTCGTACCCTAAATTTTGAATTTGAGTATCGGTCAAGTTATCAATTAAGACTATCAGGCCAAAAAAGGATATTAATGAAAGAAATAAGGTTTTGACGGGACTTACTAGTGGTTGTAAGTCTTTGGATAAATTATAATAAGAGCAATTAAGATAGCTGTAATTTTATGCCCTAGGATTACGCATAAAATTATTAATTAATTTAGTTATTTAAAGTTATGATTATTTAATCGGGTATATTTCACAATGTTTATAATAACTTTAAATATTTTAATGCAGCTTGAATAATGTGACTGTGTTTAATGTTACACTATAAATATTTTAAAATAATGGAATAAATTATTAATAAAACAGTAAATTTTTAGACTCTTTTTAGCTATTTCATATTTGGAAATTTATAGCCATACCATTATTCCATTAAAACACAATAATTGTAATTTTTCAATTAAAATAAGATAAAATCTGGTCTACAATGTTACCCAGACCTACATATTATTTTTTTAATAGTTCAACACTTTTTTCCAAAATTATTTTAATCAATTGAGTACTTAGAGTTAGTTTCAAATCTTATTCTAGATGAAATATATTTTAATTTAGCATTAGACTTCGATTTCTTGTATAATAAATAATTATTTTTCATTTTTGGTTTTAAGTGAAAATTAACTCTGAATTTAAAGGGAGATTAACATTTGAATCCCTAGATTTTTTATCCGATTTTTACAAAGTAACAACAAAAAATGCTTTCATTTCAACTGCAAATCCTAATAACTTTTAAAATATTTTCTTTTGCTTCAAACAAACATCTTTCAGAAACACAAATAAGAAGAAAAAAGCCTTTCTCATTGCAACTATATCTCTGTTTTCAGCATAAAACAAACATCCTGTGAATACCAGAACTCTTTTAAAAGCTTGTACTGACATTATTAACACTTATAGGTGTTTATTTCGCAGTTATTAAACATTTCTCCGTTCTGTTTCTCGGTAGAATCCCTTATACGTGTATAGAAATATACGAGGTGTTTCGTGTATTTATTGATGCAATTTTATGAGAGGAGGAACTTATCGTTTTAAAGGCCGAGGAATGTACTTTTGTTGGTACTATGTACACACACGAAACGAGACTCCCTACAGAGTTTTTCCAACTACATCCAGGAAGTTATAGTCGCTTTCTAGGGAAAATATATATTCGAAGGAGAGTTTTGAAATTTTAACGAAATTTCAAAATGCAACTTTTAGATAAAAGCTCAATAAAATATGTCTCGGAAGCTGAAATATTTTATATTTGTGATACAGGAAATAAAATGATATCAAATACAACCTTTTGTGTTTTACTATTTTTAAAACCCTATTAAAGCTAATGCGATAGTTCAGTGTTCAAGAGTTTGATATAATTTTCCCCTTATTGGAGGAAACGGGAACCTTAAGCAAAATGCGTAAAGTATAGTTGAAATGACGTAATATGATGCTTGAACAACAAAAATTGTAAAACTATAATCTAATGGAACATAAATTATTATTAACCACCTTTGTAAGAAAAACCTTAATAAAGTCACGTAGAAATATTTTTTTCAATTCCTTGCATGCATATTCAAATTTTCAGTCTCGTTAATAAAAGTTTCTATTCATCCATTCAAGTTCAAAAAACATTTTTTAAACTTGTAGTGGATGAAACCACTTAAATATACGGTTTTCAAATATTAATTCAATAGTTAAATTAAGGATTGAATAAATGGTAACTAACAAAAAGTAATAGCTCAACAGCATTATGAAGGAAAATATAGTTCCCCTGTGTCCCTGCAACGCAATGGACTTTGAATCTAAAAGGTAGTGGTTCGAATTCCACCTGGGATGTCCTAATGTCTACGAAGAATGTGATTACTTTTTTATTATACTATTTTATCAGAATAATTAAATTTAATGAATGAATAAATAGTAACAAGCAAAATAGTTTAACAATATATATAGAAAGGAATATATAGAAAATTGCAAGGAAAATCATTTTTCTATTTTTGTCACTTGTGACTGAATCATAATAGTATTGATTCAGTCATATGTATATATACATATTTATATAGTAATTGTATTATTTAATAAAAATTAATTAAAATAATGTTTTCTTTGTTGACCTAAATAGGAATTGACAATTTTTTTTATATTACTAGTTTTCCATTGAGCTGTACATTAGCAACTAAGCCTTTGCAGACATGGCATGTCCCCAAATGGGAAAACCACCATTTCGGTGGCACCATCTAATGGGGTGGTCTCGCTACCAAATATTGAAGCTTGAGATTAATTTTAATTCAAGCTCTCGTCAGATGATAAAATACTGTCGTGGTTTTAATTTTTCTGTAAGAGTACCAAAGTCAAATTGATACTCAAAGGGACCTTTATATGCCCCATAATCATATGACATGCATACCTACGATTTTCTAATCCAAAAATATATCGATTCAACGGATGGAACCCGCAAAATTGTATTAACCCATCGGGCACGCTACCTCTAAGCCATCGATCCGAATCACATCCTAATACAACAATATGTAATAGAAACAATCCTTTTTGATAAATGGGTAGTTTATTTCTTTTATGCGTTTAATTTTTCTATGTATTTCATTATATTATATTTTAAAATGACCAATAAGAATGCATAAAATGCAATGACAATATTAAATTTTTTGTCAAAAAGGTTCCAGTTCGGATAAGATACATAAAATCAAATTTAATTTAAGGAATTGTACAGCATTCGAAGATAAATTAGAGTCTGATAAGTGTTAGCAAAAGGTAAATATTATTTAACAAATTAAACTCGCTTCTTCAGAAACGTATATTATTTTAATATTTTCTACTTTAAACAAAGGGATAGCTAGATTGATGTATTAGTTATTATACTTCCAATCGAAAAGTTTTCCTTGAACGGAAGAAATGCAAGATGATGCTTTTTCATCGAAGGAATTGGAAATGTTCTAAATTGGTTCTTTAAGCTACTAGAGAAATTTAGAACAATAACAAAGGATACTTCGTTCTCTCTTTTCAGTTACAAACACTGTAATTCAATACTATTTTTTATATTATTAGTTTACTCTCATGGGTTCGTATTCCTCAAAGTCAATAGATTTCGTAGTTAATTTTTATCGCATTCAGTTTTAAATATCTTATTACAGATTACAGAACTGTCTTGCTAAATCAGAATCATTGTTGATTTAGTGATTAGAACGCTGAATAAGCAAGACATAACGTGTATTTTTATCGGACAAGTGCCTAAATTGAATAATTATTCATTTTTAGATTACCGTAAATTCCAGCATATATATAACGCATACCTATACTTTCATGCTACCTTTTTTTAATTTTTAAGTATATTCGCCGTATAGCACCTCTTTTTTGGGAGACACAAAGAAAATATTACGATTACAATTATTATGTTATGTTTTAAAGTAATTTGTTTAAGGTTTTATTCCAGGCTTTTGAAAAAGTAGTATACTTATAGAGCTGCAACTCCTTTTAAGTTCATTAGGTATTTCATTTCATTTAAATAAACGTTATTTCGATCTATGTAAACGTTTTTTTTTATACTCATCTCGATTTTTATTTTTGAAGTTATCATTTTTACAACTGGTGTACAACACTCACCCTTAAATTTCGATTTTGTTTTTTTTTGTGTAAAAAGTACGTGTTATACACCGGATGTTACGGTATTTAGGAGTTCAGACTTTTTCTTTTTAATATACTTTCTTAAAGAACCTTTTTATTCCTTGTTCAACGTTGTGGAAAATATTCACATTCAAATAAAAGATTATGTAAATCCGAGCCAAAATTAGCTCTTCGTGAACGAAATACATTTTATGATAGATATTTTTAACCATATTATTCATGATAAAAAGAAAAAAAAATTAGGCTCCCATTAAAATTTTCTTAAAACTTCGTTTTTGTTATTTCTAAGTAAACCTGGATAAATTGTTGAAAAATTATTATTATTGATATCAGAATGAAATACATTAAAGGCTTATTATTAATATACGTTCCGATACTTCATCCATTTTAAACTATCTCTTTCAATGATTTTTTCGAATAAATATTTATTGATTCATATATAAGCACTCTATTACTTTGTTAGAACCATTAATATATATTATGAGATCTCTTCTTACCAGTTACCCAACCACATAAATGCAAGATCAATTCTCTTTTCTTTCATGTCATTCACGTTCTTCTGCTTTTGATTATTTGCATGCCCCAGCCATTTTTTGTCTGCTGATCACATGTTTGCCAGCCAGATCATCTGTTTTCTTTCTCTGTCACGATCAAGGTATTCTTTTCGTGTGTAAGGATTTATCTCTACACTATTAATGAATATTTGTTACGTACAATAATATATTTTTGTATGGGGTCTTTATTGTAGATATGTACCATAAGGAGTTTAGTAAAGGCGTGGTTAATTTTTATATATTGGATTTCAAATACATGTAAAACATTTAATCAGATTAATAGAACGGTGATTTATAAGGGATAGTAAGCGAACTAAATTTTATTGTATGGTGTTACATAAAAGAAAAGATTCTTAAATCGAAGAGTATAAAAGATATTAGAAAATTCGGATAAATATTCGATAGAAATTTAAAAGATATTCAACTTTATACAGCAGCTCAATACA